ATACGTGAACAAGGAAACTAATCCGGGATGGTGAGGTTCTAATCTATCTTAGAGATAAGGAGAGAGTTTTATTCGACTAAAAAGGGTGAATGCTTAAGTATGATAGGCTAAAAGTTACAGTTTATGCTGAGGAGTATTGTCACAGCAACAGTTTGACAAACCAAGGGTTGTAGTTCACGCTGAGTAGTATTACCATAGAAAAAGTTCTAGGAACACTCTAGTACATCTTGTCAGGCAGTATAGGCATAGCATACTAAATCATCATAGACATAGAATAATTGTTCACCATAGCATAGCTAACCCAAGTGCTATGTTAGAAGTCTGATTGTGTGAGAAATTTCAGGTTATATTAAACTCAACATTTTTATTTGCTTTGACAACTTTTATTTTTTACCTTTGCATATCTTTATTACCTCGACCAAACTATTATGTTCATTGCTCTTTATAATTTTTCTCACCTCTACAATACTTAGGACTAAATAGTGACACTTAGTTCTAGCTATAGCAAACATAAAAAATTCCCACCAATCCCTGTGAAGACGATAACTCACTCACTATTATTTTACTTGCATCAATTTTGTATACTTGTACAGATTTACGTGCCACAATACATATTTATATGCGATCAATAGTCAAGAAGCTTCTCGGGTGAAGTGATTAGTTTTAGGGTAGCATGTTTCAGCATACATTTAGGAGTTTCCGTAGCTGATGAGGTTTGCTCATTTTTTTTTCTGATATAGCCCAACCAGCTTTGCTACAATCTAGTCTACCATGCTAGTTTGGTTTTGTATGATGAAGTCGGTATTGGTCTTTTGCATTTTTTCCATTTTTGTTTCCCAGTCTTATTGCATTTTCTATAAATTATCTTGCAATTATTTCATTCGTTGTTCAAATATCGCTTTCATTCTTAGTATTGTGTGAACTAATTTGTGTGATTAAGATCACTGCCACAAAATCATCCATGAATTAATTTTATGTTTCCATGACTAATGCATGCAAAAATGCTTAAATAAAGGCAATGTAGAATGCAAAGATGTAAATGCAAATGAAAAAGGTGTTGATCCTAAAGATGAATATTATATAATAAGTTCCATTAGAGATAAAAAGTCTTCGTTATTACAAGACAGACCCTTTTTTTACATACGTGTGTTTGCTTGGACGCTTGGACTAAATTATGTCGATGTTTTATATCAGGACTTCATCCTCGAAACTATGTCTCTCAAGTACTCTATGACCTCTTGGGCTTGCGTAGGGACTTCATTCGAAATGTGATCATTATCTTGAATCATGCCCTTATGATGCTGGAGTTGTGTATCATGCATTGATGATTAAAGGTGAAACAATCAGAGGTAAGATTATGTAACTGCACAATTGCTGTAATTAAGAGATCACCTTTTAATTATTGGATGTCTTTCTATCAGTCAACTCTGAGGCATGATCTACAAGTGAGCTTCCTCCTCATTCACTCTTCGTTTCCCTTTGCCATCAGTGCATGTTTGTGTATGCGACTACTTGATTGAAAAACTTTTTCTTTATTTATGAAAATTTCCAATCAAATAGTTAACTATGAATCAAAAACCTTCATATTGTGTCATGATGACACAATACGAAAAGGCGAGAAATGACACAAAAAGGAGGAAAGAATGAGTTAGTACATGTAAGATAATCGATAAAGATAAAAGTGCTATTCAGATATAAACATGACACCTACGTCATCATGGTATCTACCCAAATATGCCTTTATTAAATAGCATTCCTAATCGGGCTTGCTTTCTACCAAACAAGATTTATTTTTATAAATAAACCCTAATTACATGTATCTAGTTCAAATACTTTCATTCGAAAAAAATATATTCTATGAATTTAAAGCAAAGGGTAAAGGTTCAGAGTCATTCCTCCTTTGTGTAAACCTATCAGGGTGACTACTAACATACAAAGGTTTAGTATGGCTCTAACTAGGGTGACCATTTTATGGTTTATTATATGTTAGGTTTGGCTCCAAAGGAAAAATGTACTCGAATTTTCCTTGTTCTTTCTCCCTTGGGCTATTTAGACTCTCGATTCCCACTTATTATAGGATCATAGATTGAGTTCAATTCGAGATGATACACTTCCCTATACCTATAAGAGGAATAAATTCCCATTAAAATAAAACACATGTGTACCCCAAAGGTTACTTGCTAAGACTCATATGTGGAAAAAATTCACACGAGAGGAAAGCATTATCCCTTACTTATTTAGGAAAGAGTTCGGGTATAGAGCATATGTCATGCAAATACATATGACGTGTGTGAGGACAAATTTATGAGCCTTCAACAAAGAAAAAAAGATAGAAGCAGTTTCCAAAAAGGAAAATTTAATGAAGCTGAAAACATGAATTTAAACATTAGTACAACTATTTACATAAAGAATGCATATTAATGGAAAACTCAGAAAAAATCACAAGCTAAATATAAATTGAAATCACAATTTCCACAATCACGACAACGTATAACCAATTCACGACTTAACTCTCTACAGTGTCTCCAACGGAGTTGACAAGCTGTCGTAACATTTTTTAAATAAAGTTCTCTTTTTAAAAGAAAACTCGATTTATGACTTATTTTAGGAAATTTGATTTGAAGTCGCCATCGATCTTTGGGTTAGGTAAGTTAATACCTAAAAATGTATTTTAAAATAATTTAAGAAAAATCATTTTTGAAAGACAAAAAATGGTATGCATTTTACCAAAGATTTGTTTTAAAAGGTTTAAGAGTTGATTATGCGTGGGGAATGGTTAGCATCCAGACAACGCCCAAAATTGATACCTAATCACTTATACGTTCTCGTAGTAGTGAAATTAGCAAAGTCGAATTAAAATTTAAAATGTGATCCTTTTTATTGAACATTTAGTGAAAATTCTTATTATTTTAAAATATTTCATTCGAATGATTCAAAAGGACACTCTTTTACTTTGAAAAGAACCAATAAGATTCGCACATCTGCAATTAAGAAGTCTATCCCATCGATTCTTTTTAGTAAAACAACATTCCTCTTTTACTTATGAAAACAAGATTAGGCATAATTCGAATATGAATGCGTCAGAGTATTGAATAAAACAATAAGGCATGGTAACAAAAAATATTAGACACAATTAATAATTTTAAAAAGAAAATTTATTTAGAGAAATTAACTATTTAATCGATTTTTTTGAAATTATACTTTCGCCATATAAAATACTTTTCCATTAGTTATTCGATCGAAGAAGGCATTAAAAATATAAGTATATATTTTATTCAAAATATATTTGATTTACTGCAAGGTCACTTTTCGTATGGATAAACATATTGAATCGAACGTCTGTCACTAGGAAGACTTCTCATGACCATTCTACGATAAATGTCCTTCGATTTCTGACTCGACCTCTGATGAGCTAGGATCGAAAAGGCTTTGAAGAAAATCAGGTGGTTTCTCTACTTGCTCTCTATTCTTTTTGTTCTCGATTATGGTTTATTTTTTGCTACGATTTTTTTGGTTGCCTCTATTTTTTACTATTTCTCTCTATTTTTTGTTGTTGTTGTTGTTGTTGATGCTTTCCATTTAAAAATGATTTATTTCTTTCCCTTTCGTTTGTTGTTGCTAGTCCTCTTATAAAATTCCTTGTGAGGATGTTGCCAAAGAGATGGTGAAGGTTGTATGTGCATGTGGGTGTCTGCAGGTTGTTTTACAGACTGTAGCAGAGGAGAGAGAGGACCAGTGGTTCTTCCATCGACGTGGAGATGGTCCCAATGGTGACATGATTGTTAGTGTCTCTGGATGTCCCTGTTGCTACTGAAGCGATGGTGGCAAGATTGGAGAGCCAGAGTTAGATTATGGCTTCGATTGGGCTAGTTGATTAGGTTTTGTAATTTTTGCAATAAGAAATAAATAAAATATTTTTTATTTATTTAATATGTATATACATATTATAATTAATTTGATTAGTAAATCAATTTTATTTAATATATTGATATCGTATCTACTTAAAAAATAACTAAAATAAAATCAAAAAGTAGAAAATCTCGAATGCGAGTCTAGACGAAATTTAATGTCTACAATAAGGAACCACTAATATAATTTACCTTAAATTTTTTAAAATTCCAGGTTCATTCAATTTAAGTCATATTAGCGGTTGTATTTCAAAGTCCCCAATAACCAGTGTCAAATTCAAAATGAAATCATATGTTTTAATACATGACGATTTTATATTGTATTCAATTAAAGACGATTTTAATCTAAAATTAATTATTTCTTAAATTAATCCTTAAACATTTGAATATTCTAATTTCATTTCCAAACTATCACTCTCATTCTAAATTAATCCTTAAACTTTTGAACATTCTAATTTCATTTCTGAACTATGACCCTCACTCTAATTGGTCCCCAATCTTTTGAACCTACCAATTTCATCCCCAAATTCACCCAAATATATAATCAGTTTTAACCATAATTTAACCTAAAATTTATTTATTTTCATACATATAATAATATAACTTGGCCTAAAGATTTTTTGAACAATGGATGTGAATAGTATACACGTATAATTTGTGATGAAATTAGAATGTTCAAAAAGTTTGAGGATGATTAAAAAACTTTGGGGATAAAATTAAAATATTCAAAATCTTGAGGAGTAATTTAGAATGATAATCATAGTTTAGAAATGAAATTAAAATATTTAAAAGTTTAGGAACCAATTTTAAATAATAGGCATACATCTAGGATATGTGACACAATTAACTTCTATTTTTACTCTTACTTATTCTGCTATACTGGATAATATTATCGGGTCCTCAGGTAATAGAAATTTTGCTCAAAATAAGTATAGTTCCAAATTTTCCAAAGGGTTCTTATTTGGTAATAATTTTAAAGACGCTATTTTCTTAGTACAATATAAAAAGAAGGCATAAGGACGTAATGAGAAAAAAAACACTTGCCAATTCTTTTTACGGGCATATAGAAACGTAAAATTTTATACTAACAATTTATTTCTGAAAAACTTTCATGGTTCGAGTCATCATGGTGGTAAACTCAGCCATGTCAATCAAGCCATCCTCATTAGCATCAACCCCTCGAATCATTCTTCGACAAGTTTCCAAATTACACCTCTCTCCCATCTTCTTAAGCACCGCCATCAACTCTTGGGCACTGATTTTGCCATTCCCATCGAAATCATACACCCGAAATGCACTTTGGATGTCATTGACATTGATCCCTTCTCCCATGTTGTGCATCATCCCCAAGAACTCCTTGAAGTCTATGAAGCCGTCCCCATCGGTGTCGATCGTCGTAAATGCTTTCGTCGCATTGGTTTCCTCCTCTCCTTTTCCTAATACTTTCAATGCCGACTTGTACTCTTCCTTGGAGATCTTCCCATCTTTGTTGGTGTCATATTTGTCGAACACCCATTTCATCTCTTCCACATTTGGCTGATAAGTTGTTGATGACAGGTTTGAGTTTTGTCTCTCCCTGCTGCTGATGCTCGACTGTTTTGTTAGTTTCCTCGACAACTTACAAGTAAATGATCCATATTTGAACTCCGTAAAGCTCGGTTTTGACATACTCTTTTGATATTTGATGGTTTTCTTTCACAATCTCCAATGTCAGCCACCTCTCTCTCTCCATAAATATATATATTCTTGATCATTTGACTTCGTGTGATCAAATTGCAAGATCATATGGTGGAATCTGTCTTTTAATTTGGGGACCTAAAACAAGAGAAAAAAGGTGTTTGAGATTGGGTTTGATATTCTTATTCTAAAGAGATGATTTCTATTCATAGAAGTCTTGAATTGCGGTAGCGTAATAAAGAAATTTACTACATATGTAATGACGGATCTATAAATAATTTTAAGAATAAACACACACAATTACTATAAAATTTAAGAACAAAATCAATAAAATACACAATTATTCAAAAAAAGTTTGAATTTTAAAATAAACACGAATTTACTTTCAAACTTTAATAGATCCGTCAGCGCCTACAAATCAGCCAAAAGCTAAAGAATAAAGATGTTATTGCTCTCCAAGTTGAATCATAGGCATATATAGCAATAGAACATTCTAATTCCACTCGCCTTTCGGCGATCAATCCTTTTTTTAATCATAACGCAACTATCAATAATGGACCAAATGTTGCTTGATTATCCCAAATAATAATAATAATAATAATAACAATGGACCAAATGGTTTGAGAATTACGAGCAAGATTACTGGAAAGGAGTGCGGAATCGTATACGATATATTGGAATTCACTTTCTTTTTTAATGGATTTCATTTATTCAATTGCAAAGACAACTCGATTGAGACAAATATAATGTCTTTAAGAAATAAGAATAGTTCTACATCAAAAAATAAGATGGAGGATTTGGAGTGGGAAAGGAAAAAATATTTTAATTCTATCGTACACGCTTCTTTGGAAGAGATAAAATTAAACCACAACAAATATTAGAACGATTCTTTGATTATTTAATTTACTTCAAATATTCCGATGAATAAGATAAGTAATGTAGACAACCGTGATGATGATCAACGAAGAAAACCTCACCAGATTGAATTAAAAAATGTCATACTTTAAAAAGGTGACAAACAACATTAATATCGCATAGAAAAAGAAAGATCCTAAAAATTAAAAATGATATATTTTATATGCTACAAGACATCTTACGAAGAAATAACCCATACAAAGGCATCAAGTTTCAGCCTTTTGAAAGCACATATAATACAAAGTTTCATTAAGACACCGTTAATACGTTGGGTTTGACAAATATTTTGATTTCGGCACATGACCGGCTGTTAGGAGAAACGGAGTATCTTAAGCTATTGTTCAGTACCTTCAATTTCTATATTTAATTTTTTTAATCTCATAAGTTTTTTCGTTTTTTACACTCTTTAGTCATCTCTTGCATTAATTCATTTAATTTTGAATTAAATTTAACTATATTTTTCTCTCTTTTTCACATCTTATTCTTCAATTTATCAAATATTTTTTTAACTTTTAGTTTTCTTAAATCTCAATCTAACGATAAAAAATATATCATTCTTATTTTTTTTATTTTTTTATTCAAAATCAAGCTCCCTATTATATTCACATTCAATTTTTTTTACTTACTTTCTCTTAATTGTATTTAAGATGTTTTTAATAAAATAATAAAAACAATGAACTCGAGCTCACTTTGGCTTTTATGAATCAAATAGCAACTAGGTTTTTCCTTAAAAAATCTTGGAGTTCAAAAGTTCGCATAGGACGTTAGGGTTTCCATGTTTGTATCTGCGCAACTAGCGACAAAATTGATGATAAGAATATCTCCACTAGAGCAACCGAACTCTCCGGTGGAGGTGGAGAAGCCTGACTAAAATAATATTGAGTTGGAAGATGCAACGGCAATGGAGGAGGATGACACTATTAAGACATCACTCCTGAGTAGGGGTAAGGATAAAGACAAGATAACAAAGTCTTACGCCTTGACGTTAGTAGGGGCTGCTAAGAATATTCCATCGGAAACTAAAGGCTTTGTTGAAGAAGAAGTTATAATTCAAGAAGGGGATGTGGAAATTGACAAAGTGGTCCATATCCCATTATAAAATTCTCAAACTCAGTGCATGATTGTATAGACTACAATATGCATAAGACATTTATTGTGTGGTTATTAGGTGATACATGCTTCAGAATATATGATGATAAAGAATTAATGTTTCTTTGGACTAATGTTTCTACTTGAACCTATTAGAAGAACAAAGTTTGGAAGATTCAAAGTATATCTATTCGGTAATTATAATGCGAGTGAATTCTTAAAATGTTCTAATATTTTTCCCTTTGAGGTTTCAGATTCGAGGTCGAGTCCTTTTGAAGAGAGGACTAGCTCTTCCAATTGATCTACACGTTCAAGCCTTGAAAAAGAAGACTAGAACAACAACACACTTGTGATGACTTTTTGAATGGGATCCATATGTTATCTGATGTCGAAACTCAAGATACGTCAATTATAGTGAAGATAGCTCATGTAGAAATTCATATACATGATTAATACGAGATTGTAAATATTATGAATTATCAATATTTTTATTGATTATTTGTAATATAAGTTGATATAGGATTCTTTACTATCTTTTAGGATTATATTTATTATTTTGTTAGGAATTAGAATAAGAACATCATTTGTTTATTATTATTTTATTCATCAGTTACTAAGGACTTTTGAAACTCCTCACCTATATAAAGAGGCTCTATTCACCACTGTAAATCAGATTTCTTTAATTAATAACTTGAGTACATTTTTGCAAGTATTGATAGCCTTATACCTTCGAAGCATTTTTCATCATAAAGTTCTTCAAGTTCTTTGCGAGAGAGATCTTCACACTCCGATTTTCCTTTTCATTGCGATTAAGAGGGCTGGTTAGAGTCGATTATCAAGTTTGCCTAGTCAATTGCGGCTAGGAGGGTTTTGTAGGACATATGTCAATTGTTCATCATCAGCATCTTCATCACCGACATCATTCATGTCACCATCTCCACAAAACCTAGGGTTTGCGTTAACCCCATACCTATCGGGGAAAATTTTCAATTCTTGTTTTTCATTCGTTTCATTCATCATTTCAAAAATCTTTTACATATTCGTTATCTATATATCATTATCTTTCTAACGTCTATCCATTTGTTTGATTATGTGTCAAGAACAATTTCAGTTAAAACCCAAAATACTAAGTGTTCATGTCTATATTCTTTAATTATCTTATATATCTTCTTTGTTCATCACATTTGCCCTAATCCATTATTCTTAGTCAATTTTACAGCAACTTCTCCTCCAAGAAACCTTACTTGCTACCACACCCCTCGTCTACATTCTCTTTCGTTCTTTGATCGAGTCTAGATACTTAGGTTTGATTTTTCAACTTCGAGTAACATTCATAACTCTGTTTTCATCTCTTATCACAGGGGAATGTTTATAGGGATCTTTGGAACAAAATTCAAGTGATATGACAGTCAAAAGGTAGGTTTCAACTGGTGGACGTAGTTAATGGTTATTATCTTGTGAAGCTAGAGCAAGAAGATGACTATACGAGAAATTGTAAAACTATTTAACAGTTCAACTATGGAGTCAGAATTTTTCTATGATTGAAAACACCCATCACACGTAATTATTTGGGTGCGGCTTCCAGGACTCCCATATCACTACTACACCAAATATTTGTTTAGTTTATTGTCAGTAGAGCTCAACAAAGTGACCAAAGTTGATTATAACACAAATATAGGTGGAAGGGGAAATTTTTGCACGATTAGCCATAGTGGTCGATCTCAATAAACCAGTTCTCTCGTGTATCAGAATAGATTGTTTCATTCAACAAATAGAATATGAGGGACTTTAGAATATTTTCTTCAAGTATGGAGTCTATGGACATTCACAAGATTTATGTTGGGAAAACATTTCTAGAACTAACAATGAGTCGGGGCATCATTGGTTAGGCAAGCGAAAGCTGACACCCGAAAATTGTTTAGCATATATTTTGATATAAAAAATAAGGGCAAATATTTTTGGACTTGATTGAATTTGTTCAAAGATTTCAAAAATAACTCAAAAATCCAATGAACATGAATTTGAACACAAAAAGGATTTTCTGGGTAAGTAATACCGATATTGTTCTTATAGTACCGATGCTAAAGGTAAAAGAAGTATCAATATTCCTATGGTAGTATCGATACAACATTTTCCTTTTCAAGTTTTCAAATTCTAGAATGCGAAATTAGTACATATACTTTATGAGTATCGATAGTACATTACACAATATTATTGATATTTCAAAACCCTATTATTAATACCGGTCAAGCCCAATGGTCATTAACAACTATATTTTTATATAAAAAAAAGGAAGTATCGATACTTGTTGCGTGTGTAAATGATTTGCAAACTGTGCAAGTATACACATCGTTCAAATAACAAAGTGATGAGTGAGATTGTCTCTACAGGTATTGAAGGGAGATTAAGTAAAGAATACACACACTAAAATTATAAACAAATATTGTATGTGAATGGTATGAACAAGGTAAAATAAATGTTTTAACAAGAAAAGTAATGTTGAGACATATTGTACCAAAATTGTGTCGAGAACTACGTTACAAGATAAGACAACTACATGAGACCTCACACGTGTGAAACACTCAAGAAGGGTAAAAGGTTGAGTTTATTGTGGAATCCTATAACTTGTCCTTAAGAAATTTCTAACACATTCTCTCAGTACGTTGCTTGATAGTGTTTACGAAGCTATGTCTAAGCTATCTCTAGTAATAAACTAATAGTGGAAATGCTAACGCAATACATTTCTGCATAAACCTATCAAGTTGCTATCTATGAAGCTCTACTCCTTTTTGTCATTTAAACCTTATCATTATCTCTAAGGTGAGTGAGGGTTTTGCTTTTCAACTTAACCCTATTATCATCGTAGATCTACGCTTAACTCTCTCGAATATTAAGCATCAAACATATATTAAGACTAAATCTTGCAAGGCATGCTAAATCTTGTAAGGCTAACTATCGCAAGCTCCTACAAATCTAAGTAAATAAAACAGTGAACAAAGTAAGTGTAAAACAA